AAACACTTCAGTGTCACTGCTGGACTGAAACATAGTCCACCACCCAAAAATATCCAGCCAACAGCGTCCTGTGGGCAGCGTCCTGTAACCACTGACGAAAGAAAGACTAAAGGATGACCAACACAAACAGAGCTATTCTCACTGACTTTACATCTACAAGGTGGACCAACAAGATAGGAGTGTCTAATAGTTTTATTTTTAATTGTTCACCATCTGCAGCTATTAACCCCTTAAAATACCAGGGTTATTACTTACTAAGGCGTATTATTCAGTAGCTACAGGGACTTCAATGCAAACTGGTTGAGCTATTCTTAGGCTTTAGAAGTGTGTAATAAAACTTTGGGCCCCACTGACGGGCCCTAGTAGCCTTTGTAGGGTGTTTGCACCCCAGTCAGAAGTTTAAGATCCATGATGTGTCGATAATTGCATTTTCTATTTCCTTTTATTTACATGTGCAGTGCTACGCAAAGGTTTGATCACCCTCTTTCAAATTACATGTTCTTTAAGTCATTTTAAGTGTAAATAAGTGAAAAACACATTCTTTGCATACAGGTATGTAAACCAAAACATAAAACTCAGCAACTGCAGTGGATGAGTACTTACTTTCAACAAACCAGGTAATCTGAGTGAGGTGCCCAGAGTTTTGCATACAACTGTATTTGCCTCAAACCAACTGATTAAAATGCATGCAGCTCCTTTCTGGACACACTTTTATCCTTTTTTTTTTATAACACTGTCATGCCACATAAGAGACCACATAACTTGAAAAGGTTTGAGGCAAGTGCATGATGGTTATGCAGACTGTACAATGCTTATGGGGGAGTATAAGCTTCCATTTCTATTATCTGCTGTATTGTTATCCTTGTACCATGTTTAGTCTGATGAACTATATTTGAAGTAGTTGAGAAACTACTGCTTTAACAGCAACCTTTCTTTCTGTTCACTGATGCCATGAATCAAGCAAGTTTAGAATCTGCAGCACAGAAGGACCCCGATCCCCCTGTTGCTCTACAAGGTCACCCTGAGAAAGGAAACCCCTTCTGACAACCTGTACCACAAACATTACTGCCCTTCACTGAGCTTAAGATCATATCTTAGTTCTGCAGTAAATACATCAGTGTAGCACAACATTCTGTATAAATTACCAGTGTACACAAAAAACAAATCATTTAAATGATCTAGTCTCTGCAGCCTGATCCAACCTCTAAAACAGGAATAAACACATTTATACTTCACAGCAGGCCATTGTGATGAACAGATGTAAAGAAAGGGAGCTGAATTATCATTGTCTGTGCCTTGTCATGTATTAGCAATGAGAGCCCTGATTGCCATTGTTAATAATAGAAGCGTGCTGTCAGTGTGACTTAGTACTCTTCTGCCATTTCATCTGTTATTATCTGCCTACACACAATCCGCAGAAACAGTTTTGCAAAAATTCCACACATAATAGAAACAGCTCAGGAATCAAATCACTGTCTTCTCATGTTGAATTAGTTAAGCAACCATGCTCAGTCAGGCTGTAAAATCCACTTAAAGCTTCAAAAACAATACTGACCATGTAGGAGGAGTCACTGCTAAGTCAATCAGAAGCATTGTTTTGATTTTATTTTAAGTCATGGCAGTTACCTTACTCCAGTGGTTTCCAACCCTTCTCCTGGAGAGCCAGCGTCCTGCAGAGTCTAGTTTCAACCACAATCTTCCACACCTGCTCTAGCTAATTAACTTATTCAGAAGTTCCTGATTGGCTGGAACAGATGGAGCAGTCTTATGTGAGGGAAGGGGTAGCATGTTAGAGAAGATAGTTCTATAGCTTTCTAGCATAATAAATTGTATTTTCAAAACAAAACCGCCCCAATTTTGCTGTATGTGGCCTACAGTGCATCTTTAGAGGAAAAAGCACACTCTGATAAAGCCCGTACAAAGATGTCAGCAGGAAAAGCCTTAGCAGGAGGGCAGAAACACAAGAAAAACTCCAGCAGTTAGCCACATTCAGGCCATTTTTCTCAGTTTTAGATAGAAATAACTCAGCAGACAAACATTGTTATTATCTACTATGACTTGTATTGTTTAAAGCATAAAACAACAAATTCCTGTGGTCATTCAAAACATACTCTGTTTGGTTGAGTTTCACTGATTATGTCTACAGTGAGAGCAATCCTATTAGCAGTCACATCAAAAGTGTGTTTGTTTCTTTTAAAACAGAATGCAGAACAGAACGATAAGACAATAAGAAAGACCATAGAATCAGTGGGCTCCCAAGTGGCGCAACCGTCTATGCGTCTAGCGGGTGGAATCGGAGATGACTAAATTGGGGAGAAAACTGGGGAAAAATAATAAAAGGAGATGTACGGGAGATGAGGGTACACACACCCAGAAGTCACTTCTCAATTAACACTCACAGCAATGCCTCAAGGAACAGACTTGGAAACGTATCACCCTAAACCAAACCTTCTTTTTCTTTTTCCACCACACACATTTTAAGTCGTTCATTGCGACCTCTGACTCATCCCGTATCCACTCAACACCCAACCACCCCCTCATATACACAAATATCTGTCAAGCCTTGCTTTAAAATACCAAGTCAACACCCTGACAATTTTCATTCAATAACACACACAAGTTCAGTCCCACAATGCTTTGCACTGAGCATCTCAGTCAGCCCCCATGCTGAGAACTGGCAGGCACATAGAGAGGCACTCTGCTGCCTGCCTTAAGAGTGGGTGGAGAATGATGACCAAAACTGTGGACTCCAGCTAAAAGGGACAGTCTGTATACACAGCCTTATGTAAGCACAGGAAAATGAAATAAAACTTAATACTGAATTCATATAAAACATAAGGCAGGATAGCAGCCTTACAGGGGCTTATTTTAACTGTTTTATTTTTTTTTTTATTTTAACTGTTTCTTAACTATTTTAACTTAATTTTTTATTGTAGTGAGTTTTATTATCTTATTACAGTGTTTAACTGTGTAAATTAAACATAGGAACATTAATAATAACACAATATTGTACAATACAGGATCATGAACGGCTTAGCCATAAAATTTGACTGCTTATGCTACCTCAATCTTAGTCTGCCTTCTGACTCACACAGGATTCAGTGTGGTGCTTGCTGCGTCTCCTTCTGCTCAAGCATGTGCCTTATATTCTCCATCAGGGCTGCTTGACTAATTGTATTTTTGTCGTTATTGCAATTTAAGGTTTCATTATGAAGAAATTGTAAAGCGCATGGTTAGAAGCCTAATGAGGATCTGAATCCTGCTCTCACATGTTGGGGAGTAACGTAACCATAAGTAACGTAACCATATTTAACATACTAAATAACAAAACACACACACACACACACACATATAATTGCAGTTCTGATGTAAGTAGCTGTTAGTATTTCTAGTCTGGTTGCATAACGAATTCAGCTTTTATAATTTTGTATTTTGCTATTTACTTAAATGAGAGGTTAGTTAAATGTCTACACATCAAAAAAAAATAAAAAATTTGCGTCACATCTAGAAGAGGCACATTATTTCAATAATTTATCACTCCTCATTTCATCATTGTGATATCCAACAGCTTTTTTTACCATTGCATTTTCTGTCAATATCAAATTGTATGACTCAATAAATATGGTAAGAGCTGCATTTATATAGGGGAAAAAAGACAGAAACATCAAGACCATAAACACTTACAAATACTTAAATTAAGTAGAACTCCACTGCAAATGTTTTCATAACTAAATGGCTGAGATGCAAGCAAAGCAATTGAAAGTGGTTTGATGTCAAATTGTGCATTACAGAAAAACACACTAAATTGGGAATTCTTTACATTGGTGGTAGGAATTAGGGGCCACAATGTCAGCAGCCCACTTATAGCCATTTGATTTATTATCCAAAATAACAAGTGAACCTACAAGTGTCTTCAGAGTTTTTTTTTGATATGTTAATAAAGGCGTAATAGTTAATTTGGCATGCACTGCATGCACCACTCCACTACATATATCTTATAAAAGAATGGTTAAGGTCAAAGTCTTATCTTAAAACTATAAGAGACAACGTCTCAGATATTTGTAACCAATTTAATGGAATTAATCACAACCACTGTAAACAATTCTGACTTTATAAGTTTCTCTATAGGGCAGCACTTTATCAAACCACTCTGTGTGACTATTTAAAGAATTTAATTATGCAAAAACTTTGAACAATTGTTTGAATTCTCCTACCATACCATATCTGGCAATGTCACAGCTCACAGAACACAGATAAATTCAAATGATCACTCCACATGGCAGCAATGAGAGGGAGTCAAGTGTGATAACTGAAGAAGTGGCCAAAAGAGCTTGTTAGTATAGTTGGTATCTTTGTAACCCATGAACATCATTATTGATAATCTTTTAATACGGCTATGGATATGTATCAGTTCCAATGAAAATGTATGTCATTTTTTATGTAAATAAATACGATAATTTGAACAAAATGATGGTGCAGAATCTGATTTTTCATATTAAATGAATAACAAAGCAATGCTTTGTAAGCGATGCTGTGCCACAGTTTTTGGGCACACCTGCCAAAACCTGCTGTCCTGAAGTACTGAATCGAACAAGGGGAGTGAGGGAGTGCAGTTACCATTTCAGACCTGGCACTGAAGATACCTTTCACAGCGATATCAATCACATGTCTTTAAGTAGAACCGTTACACTGTAATGCAGCAGGTGTAGTACTAATGAAACGCATTAATGAACCACCTTTTGTGATTTAGCTCACTGTCAGAGAGTGCACAGCGCCTTTCTCAACCCATTATTAAGAAGCTTTTATCTAATCCAGCTGGTACCACTGGTTACCACTGATTGTGCTACCCCTTCTATTATCGGAAATCGGATGGAAAATCCAAAGCAAAAAGCCTCAAAAGATTCTAGAAGAACACTGGAGTAAATGAGTTTATAACTGATGGGAGCAGCAACTAAGTAACAGAAGGACATTCAAGTACATTACACAAATACAATGAGTACCTTTGAACTTATGAAAAACAGCCCATAGCTCAGCGATGTCCGTGGCGAAAGTGATGTCAGTATCCAGAACGATGACTTTCTGCAGGTCAGAAGGCAGCGTCTTCGTCAAAACCAGCTTCATCAGGCCGTAGATACCAGAGTAATGCTTGTTGGGGATCCATGACACCTCAGACTAAAACAGCAGAGAATGCAAATGTTATTCTTAATGCAGAACTAACATTCATGTTTACAAAAAAGTCAAATTTGTGAAAGACCCTGGTTGATACACCAAATTGTGATGACATTTCAAAGGGGACACATCCTACATGTTTCTTGTAGGAGCAGGGCTAATCCTCTGCAAGCTGAATAGGCACATATATATGTGTAAACACATGTAATACATGTAAATACAAGGCGTTCAAAACAAGTTGTTTATGCAGATTAATTTCCTCATACTGGGGACATTTTTAAAGCTGTAACATGTTTACACACTACATCAAATGCTTATTTTCAAAAAGTGAGGAAACTTAGGTCTTCTGTGATTAACAGAACTGCACAAAAGTAGACCACCAATCATTTTTGTAAATGTCCAGTCAAAATGGTCATTAAGTACAAGTTATTTATTTTTCAGGCGTCAGAAAACAGCAGAAAATATATGAATAGAAAATTACCCAGAAGCATCCACTACTATTTTTTTTCCAAATAATTTTTCAGGGATATTTTCCCACAGCTACAAAGTTCAGTCTTAGAAATTGGTAACATTTTCTGATTCTCACGATCCAAGAAATATCTCCTGAAAAATAAATAGCTTGTACTTAATGGCTGTTGTATTGGAAATATGCAAAATGAAGGGAGGCTTTGACTTTTGCATCGTACTGTAGGTCCTTTAATAAAGGATATTCTTTTAACGGAGTATTGACTTTCTCAAAGTTTGGCACAAATGAGCCTTACCTTTAGTTCATCGGCATCATAGAAGTTCACCCGGACAGCAGGCACCATCCATGTGTGGAAGAGGGAGGCCAAGATCTGCTGGGCGATCGAGTCAGTGATGAAGTGGAAGTGGAGAGGGTTTCGCCTGTTGCACACACAAACACACACACACACACACAACAGAGCATAATAAATACAGAGGGAACAAATGCTTTCATTCTCTAGACAAGAACACTGTTTTACTTCTCATCACAAAAGAGGCTTTATTTCAATTAGTCTCAGCTTCAGACACGCCATGTACAACTGAATGTCTATTCACAGCTAAACTGGCCACAACAACTGGGATTTTGTTAGATCCATTCTGACTGGCTATGCAGACAGCTGTGTTTACAAACTTCTATACACTGGTTTCATCAATATGACAGGAAACACAATTTTACGAGCAACTGCCAGCTTTGCACCGTGACAAGTCTTTCTGAGCAAGATGTTGTCGTTGGTTTGAAAAATACTTGAGAAGCTTACAGCATCACTTCTTAAAAGTAGATTTGGGGCTCCCGAGTGGCGCAACCATCGAAGCGTTGTCCCTATCATCAGGAGATTGTGAGTTCAATCCCTGGTGATGCTATACCCATGCAAAGCTGAGAGTCTAAGAGAGAGCACAGTTGGCCTTGCTCTCTCTGGGTGGGTAGGATGGTCCCCTTATCCCACCCATCACTTAACGCAACGCTAGTCAGCGCCAGCATCTGTCGGCTGATGTAACAGATCTGGCGGTTGGCTCTTTCCTCCGAGCGCATTCGACTCTCCAATGACGTTGCGTGAACGGCAGTTCGAAAAGATGCGGTGGCGCTTCACAGGTCTCGGAGGAAACCTGTGCTAGACTTCACCCACCTAGCACTGGTGGTATCGTGTGATTGGGGGAGTCCTAAGAAGCAGGTGGAATTGAGACGACTAAATTGAGGAGAAAATTGGGGAAAAATCAAAAAAAGATGTAGTAGATTTTATATCATTGGGTGTATGCCACTTTGTTTCTCAAAGGGTGTTTTTGTTGTAGCCCTGTTTAAAAAAAAAAACACTAAACATCACTAATCAGTTTACATGTCAGTCAGACTGCACTTTCCTGCCAGAGTAGGTGTTCTTTTTGCCATTTTAAGCAACAAAATTCACTCTCTGACGACAGGCAGGAGCTATTCTACTGACATTTTAGTCAAAAGCAGTGTGGTCTCTATAAGGTTGGCAACACTTACAGACAACAACCTGATGCTTAATTAGCTGGCAATCTGTAAAAAGGCCCTTTTATAAAGATCACATCTATGTTTGCTTCCATGTCTCAGTTATTTTACTCTGTGAAGTGTCTTGGAGGCCCTCAACTGTCACTGTGAATAAATGCTCAGGGCAGAATAAACTAGCCTTCGTAACAGCTGTCATGGCAACAAACAGATGCAGCAGTTCTCTTGAGCTGGTGTCAAAGTGTCAAAATCGTAATTTATTTAGATGTCTTGTCGTTTTAAAAACTCAGTTTTGATGCATGTTGTTTGTTTGTTTTATAGCGCGCACCATGTGACAAAAAGCCCAGAGCCAACAAGCCCATACTTTTCGGCCCTAATGCATTCCTAACGTAAGCTAGATTTATGACTAGTCGGCTCATTTATTAATTTCTGTATTCATGATGACGTGACATTTGCAAAGTCTGAGGAAAAGGACATTAATAATTCAGTTCACAATACAGTACAGCTCCACAATACAACTCTTGGCTATAGATCAACCAGCTTGTAAATCACAAAGAAAATGCACACATCCCATTTATCACCATATTGACTCACAGTCCTCGTTGCCATGGTGATTAACTAAGAATTCTCCTCTGAAATTCTGGCAAGCAGGGACCCCCGCATTTCTCGCATTTCAGATCTGGCGTGTTGCACTAATGATGATAATTGCCCTATTGTTTTGCTTCAAAAGAGTCTGGCAGGCCAAGCAGGAGGCAAAGGCTTCTGAGGGCTGAGATCTGAGCAGGAGCGGCCTGATGCCTGATGCTGCAGACAGGTATGAACAGAAGAGAGACCGCAGCGGCCGGATGTGTCACAGACACTCGGAGAAAGTTTCCATCAGAGCAGCTGGCGATAAAGAAAGGAGCAGACTCATTTAGTGTACTGGAAGACTAAGAGAAACCTTTCTGCTCTTTTTTTATTATTTCGCATCTCTCTAGAACTCACTCCACATCTTTCTCCCATGCACAAGAAACTCCTTTTTTCTCCAATATTCAAAGGGGCTGAACCTTTACAGCACACAGTGAAGGTTTTATTTACTGCTGCTGGCCGATAACAAAGTGCTGATGGGATGCACTTTACTGATTCTGAGCCTGGAAAAGTAAAACAACTGAAGTGAACAAAACTGATCACACAACATTAATCATATAGACTTACCAAACACATACGGTTGCTGTAGTTTGCAAAAGGGAGTGTAAACACCTCACTACACCAAAAAAATGATAAAGCACTTGGGCTTTAAATTGGTGGAGGATTCAATAATTTAAGCCAGCGGTTTTCAAAATATTGGACCAAATATCATCCTTGATTAAACCAAAAAACCCAAATACCACCTACTAGGGCACAATGATAAAACAGACTGACATTACACAAACTTGTAGGAATTGGAAATCAAAATTGCCACTTTTAAAAGACTAATATTTATAAACAATTTCTTCTATGTTGTAATGAATACACTTTTATAAGGATCCATAATAGTAGTGGTCACTTTACTGGTTAAAATTCTTCCTCAAGTATGAGATAAACATTATAATGATATGCCACAAATATGCGCAAATAACTCAACATACAAACAGTTGGCCCGTTTGGCTGAACAGCTGGCCCAGGGATGTTTTCGTCATGTTTCAAATAAAAATGAAAATGCAGCAGACCCTCGAAGTAGTCCACTTTTATTTTTTTTCACCATAGCGGACATAATTGAATGGCTGGCCTTTTGGGGTTTACGTCAGCCTAACATGGACAACAAAGTGCTCTTGTTTACCCTTGTACCTCCTAAAAGGAGCAGCCTGACTCGATCAGCTGCATCACACAACATTCTTAGGGTTTTTGCGTGCAACAACTTGTGGACCAGCTGGTACTGACAGTGGTTAGTTTAGTTTATTAAATTTAGATTCACAATGACCGTGCACATTAATCAGCATTTCTGTAAATGTGCCAGTTTAGCCAATTTGGCTCATTTCAAATGAATGCATTATTTTCCAACTTCCAGCTGTGTCTGACAGTTGGAGGTACAAGTACATGAACCACGCAAATGACAAATGACTTTGACAAATTTGACAAAGCTGGCTTCTTTTTCATGTTTCTCATTCCACCTTAAAAGGTGCAGCAGTTACACCCAGGTGCCTGTACAGCTGCCAGACTGCTGTCCCATTTAAGGTGGAATGGAAAATTAGAACAAAAATAGGAAGCAAACTTCAGGCTTGTAGAAATTCAGAAGTGAAATAACATTTAGCACTGTTTTTGCAAGGCTAGTGTCAGAATACAATATTGACATGGGTTTGTTGACTATAGTTTTGTTTCTACTATTTTGCAGAATATTTTTTTTTCTGATCTACTTTGGTTGTTAAAAATAATTCTTACTGAAAAGTGAAGGTACATTCCAAAACAATAAGCCACGGTTAACCTATAAAAACAGGTTCCCTTAAGAATCTAAAACAGTTCATTTCCATTATATAGCCAAGTCCAAGAAGTGCTTCACATCAAAAACAGAAAACATACCCTTATTCAAAGGCCTGAATCAATGAAAAATGCTATCATGAGTTTGGACACATCACCTCCCTCACTCCCCTATGGTGCTACCCGCCAGGTCTGTTTCAGATCTGTAGAAAACACTGGATGGTTATCTTAAGTGAAGTGCTTCAGGGGAAAATAGCACATTTTAAAGGCTAGTAAAGATTAAGGAAGAAATAATGTATACATATCAGCTGATACTTAAAGTTCGCAATATCAGTACTGGTATAGAGTAAAATAAAAAGTGATATCTAATTTCTAGTTTCATGTTCTTATTCTAATCTTGATAAGATACTTCTAAGCCACCCGTAACAAACTCTTCACCTTTGATGAGTGCAATATCGGCTGACCTGGTGAGCTTCAACACCATTACGATTACAATAACAAAACAGTAAATGCATTAAAACCTAATTGTTATCATAAGAATAATATGTTACAATAAAAATAAAGAAACTTTTGTTAAGAAAACACAACTAAACGCTAAAGCTGGGATGCTCTGCAACCTGTAAGTAGCCACGCTGTGTGATTTTATGCACTTTTTGACGTTGAAGCCAGATCATCGTAAATCGAAAGTTTCTTAATGATCTAACATTTTGTCGAGATACAAAACAAGTAGCTAGTATAGGCAGTGTTAGCAAACTGCAAGCAACTAGCCTGACAAACGAAATAGTCTGATAGTCTAATAGTCCAACCTAGCTTATTTACACAGAGGTTCATTTTATTTTCCTGCTTGTGTCTATTTTGACATGTTGTGTGAGCCTTCGCAGTGCATCGCTGTAAACCAGTAATCAGAGCACAGGTCATCAAATTACTCATGATCCCACTGAAAAAGTGAAATCAGCTTGTTTCATTCTAGGGCCAAATCAGAGGGTTGTAAATGGGTGCGTAAAACTGCATCTCGGCATTTTTCTCCCTGACCAAAGTCACAAACCTTCTATGTAGACATCAGAGAACAATTTAAAATGCTAAATAAATGCAATCTATGGCACCTTTAAACATGCAAGGCCTATAACAGATAATACAAAACACATATTTACCTTTGTTTCAGCCGTGTGCCTAACTTGCATGCCTTCTGTGCACAGGATATAAGATTTCACTTGTCAGCTCTGCTCAATGTAGAGGCATGTGACCATGACATGTCACACAGTACAGCAGTGGCTTGTAAGAGCTACGGTACTGACCAAAGCTAGCTGTGCATTGCTCACCCTTCTTCTTCCTGAAGCGTATCTCCCTGCTTCAAGCTAGATTATGTTAATGAGTTCCTGAAATACCTCACGGTTGACGCTGTTTATTAGCATCATGTCTTTTTCAGTAATTTTGAAAGTTCTCTTTGCAGTTACCAAAGGGATGGTCAGCTGTGATGTGTCACCTCCGGGCAACACAGCTGGATGCTAGTTATTATTATTATTTTTTTAAATAGGAAAAAGAACTTTATTTAAATGAGCCTAATACAAGACCGTTGTTTGATTTTATACTAATAGACTAATTAGCGACAGTTAATTGACTACTTGTTATTTGTTAACAACCCCATCTCATAAGAAATAATGAAAACCTCAATGTCCAAGAACAACATGCATATATGAACACAGAGATAGGAAAAATAACACACAACACACTGGGGTCTTGGCTCTTCCAGTGTCCCAAACTCTCTCTGTGCCAGGTTCAGCAGCAGGTGCTAGTATAATCCTCCTCACTCTCAACAAGTGTTGCTTATCTATCAGGGCTGACATCAGCCCTCCGAAGCAAGTATTCCTTTCAGCCTTGACATAAAACTTGATTTTAGTCAGGCATTCATTTGTATTCATTTGTTTTGGTAGACAATATGGTGCTATGGTATGTCTCGGAAAGCTCAAGGAGGAACCGAATACTCAAGAACTATATGTCTGCACTATTAACAAAGATATACACATAGACTACCTATTAAACACAAAATATGAAAACTCACTTTAAGCTTTTCTTCCGAATTTACAATCTATATTATTCAACTTTTAATTTTCTACTTTTCGGTGCCCACAACAAACTTCCAGGGTCATTTGGGATGCAGTTTAAAAATAGCTGCCAATATAGAAAGTCACCTGGGCCACAGTCATCCATCTGATGACCGTGTAAATGTTTATATTGGACACGTACAAATGTTTACTGCCAAAAACTGCCAAAAAAAGTCTGCAATGTTAAAATTGCATATGCTTATATAAACAGTGTTCAGCATTTTCAGGCTGGTATCTACACTCCTCCATCAGGACAAAGGCAAGCAATGTGTAAGCAAGTTCAGTCCATCAAATCAGTGAAACATCTTGCATGGATGCTGCAGAGCAATACAAATGCACTCCAGCAACTGGTGTAAATACTGCAGATGCTCTAGGCACGCCATTAAAATTATGTCTGCTCCACTTCCTAATTGTTTAATTGAAGTGACTAACAGCTGGAAATGGCACACAAACTCATTATGAGATTCTGTCCTCGTGAATGATCCACTTTATCTTCTTCAAAATGTACAGTGCACAGGTATAATGCCTAATGTAATAACACAAGAAAAACGTTTCATTTAGGTATGTCAAGAAGACAGAAAATTAAAAAGACAGTTGTCGCCTTTGGGGTAGTTTAATAATAACACTTTCACAATGTATTTTATTATCTGCTACAGCAATGGACCCTCTACTTTAAAGTCTTTTGTTCTGTAAGTGGACAAGTGTATAAGGAGTATTTAACTCACCTATGGAACAGCACAGACTTGACCAGCGTCACCACGTCTCGACTTGCATTGTATCCCGCACACACAATGGCAACATGAATGGTCTGTGGGGGTGAGACAGATGATGAATTAATTATAGCAGAAAAAGTGTCAAAAAAGTGAACAAAAACATCAGTGCAGAGTGATGCTGACAAGAACATTACACCAAGCATACTAGAACTGAAGCTTTCCATTTAGAGCATGGTATTTGGATTATTGGCAATGTATAGGCCTGTGCCCAGTGATGGTTAATCGAGTTACCGTGGCAACAGCCCCCTGTGACGGTAAAAACATATTTACAGCCCAAAAAAATAAAAAAACACTTTTTTCATTTATTGATGTATTTTGTGCAAACCCTAGCAAGACAGCAGTATTCCCACATGTGAATATAACGTAACTTTTAAATGTTGAGTGATGTGATATCCTACATCAATACCACCTTTATTGTGCTTAACACTGATGAGATTGTTCTAGAAACATAGCTGAGCAGACAGCTCACCACAGTGTCAGGTTTCAGACTGAAAAACTACTTTGGTCTTGACATGAGAAAGAACATGTTTCAGCTCTCGTTCATCAGGCAAAACAGGTCATGACCACCACTTTTACCGAACTGTATTTGACTATGTTTTTTCCCCTCAAAGTGCAGTTTAACCATTTAACACAGTTATTTTCCACGAATAAGAGGACACCGTTACTGTCACAGGCTTAGCAGTTTACTGCATTTTTAAAAAGCTGGAGTTTTAATTTGTGTCTCCCATTGTGCTGCTTCACTTAGAACATCCCCTCCAAGCTGATAAAGATGCTAATAAGGATTTTTTCAAACCATCTTCCACTATTATTATGCGTCAATGAGAGACAGGAGGATAGACAAAGCAACACCGACAGAGTGGCAGGCGGTGTCACAGGTGGTCTGGCAGGCGGTGCAACAAGCAAGCCCGACCCTGACAGGCCACCGCATGAACAAGAGCACATGCTCACTTCCAAGTTGAGAAGTTTTATATTTGTGTGGTCGCGACGCAAGGATTGCGCTGCCATCAAGCCAATGAAGTCACAGTTTTTGCTGAGGGAAAAATGGATGATCATCTCATCCTTAAGTTGGTGGCTCTGTTTTTGACACTTTTATTCATATTTTCGTGTTTTTCAGGTTTTCCGTTTTTGTGTTTAAATTAGTTGTGCAATCTGTGTTTTCATTAGCTGTCCTTGCATTGCAGTCACCATGGTTGCCACGTGAGAGATGCAAGGGATAATCTGCCTGCTGTATGAAAAGCTGTGCTAAGCAGTGGAGCTGACCTTTCATATGGAAAGCAGAGAGACCGAGGCGGAGTGGGTTAAAGGCCCTTTGAAGTGGAATTCTGTTGACGTTTAAAAAATTCTGCATGATTCAACAGTCATTTAGAGTGTTTTTATATGAAATGATGCATTCTGGAGAAATTTAACTACTTTGCAGTTGTGATGTTTGAAACATTTACTATCCAAAGCGACCAATGAGCATCTGAGTTTTTACAGACAATGCTGACAATGGTAAGTGGACAGTGGTAAATCTGAAAACATGGCAAAAGCTTTTCATAAAACTAAAATAATAATAGTTTCATGCATCAGAAAAACTGTCCATAACCATTTCAAGTAATAATTTTCTGTGAAGTAGCTTTGAGAAGCATTAAATGCTTCAGACGTCTGGTCCCCATCACCACTGTTATGACAATTCTGACTCAGTAATTTTCTCTAGAATGGAACATTTTGTGTCAATCCACTCTGAACGACTTTGTTTACATCATAACATTTCAATTATTCAGAAATTTTGAGAAATTGGCAGAATTTCCCTTCATACTCTCCAACTGACTGACAGTTCAGCAGAGCTGTTGACACAAGAGGCAGCGTTTATCATACTGCACCAGATATCAGACATGAAAACTCAGTGAGCCCACCTGTAGCTTTATTTAGAAATTACAGAAATATATATATATATATATTTATTTTTCTCAATCCACAGCTGAGACGTGCACAGGGAGGAGTGTAATTGATCCTGACCCGCTAGAGAGGGTTATCTGCTCTCCCTCTTCCATTCACTGCTGCTTTGCCAGTGGGTAAGTGTAACCTAGCTTATCCAATCAGAAGGAAATGAGACAGTAGAGGCACACACAAAGCCTCCTCAGAATTGCACAGCGCATCATCTCTCCTTCTCTCTCACACACACAGGGCACTGTGCAGAAATGTCTGCAGAAACAGCTCAAGAAAGACATTCTTTAGAAAATAGTTATTTTACATACTATTCTCTGAATAAGTACCAAACATTTGTATGTGGCAAATGAATGGATTCTTATGATGCCTTTCAGCAGTGTTACCAAGTGAAAAAGGCACAGATTGCTGCACAAAAGTGCAAAAGACAATCCTTCATTTAATTTCCAGTTAAAACAACCATTGAGCTAAAGTTATTCATTTTCAGGAGATGTTTCTGATGCGATTAGATAGAAGATAATCCACTGCATAAGGAAGTCAGAGGGAAATACCTGAGAAATACGTGTCACCATCAGATCTTTCACAGAGAGGAGAGAATCAAGCTCCACACTTGCTTCAGATTTGAAAAAAAGTGAACATGTGGAGTTTTGTGGACTGATAAGGCTAAATTTGTAATTTGAGATTATTGGGATCATGAGAAGCAGTTTTGAAAAACTGAAAGTTAGTCACCCAAAAAGAATCAAAGCTGTGATAAAGGCAAAGGGTGGAGACAGTAAATACTGAACAATTTGACATTACATTTAGTTGCTGAGGCTTTCATGTCATTTTCTGATATGTTTTTTCAGCATTTTTGTCCCCCAGTGCAAAAAAAAAAAAATAATAACTTGTACTTAATAGCTGTTTTGAGTAGAAATTAAAGAAATAAAGGGTGGTCTCTGAGTTTTGCACAGTACTGTATACACTATATTGCCAAAGTATTCGCTCGTTTGCCTTCACGCGCATATGAATTTGAGTGACATCCCATTCTTAAGCCATAGGGTTTAATATGATGTCAGCCCACCCTTTGCAGCTATAACAGCTTCAACTCTTCTGGGAAGGCTTTCCACAAGGTTTAGGAGTGTGTTTATGGGAATTTTTGACCATTCTTCCAGAAGTGCATTTGTGAGGTCAGACACTGATGTTGGACGAGAAGGTGTGGCTCGCAGTCTCCGCTCTAATTCATCCCAAAGGTGTTCTATCGGGTTGAGGTCAGGCCAGTCGAGTTCTTCCACACCAAACTCGCTCATCCATGTCTTTATGGACCTTGCTTTGTGCACTGGTGTACAGTTGTGTTGGAACAGGAAGGGGTCATCCCCAAACTGTTCCCAAAAAGTTGGGAGCATGAAATTGTCCAAAATCTCTTGGTCTGCTGAAGCATTAGGAGTTCCTTTCACTGGAACTAAGGGGCCGAGCCCAACTCCTGAAAAACAGCCTCACACCATAATCCTCCCTCCACCAAACTTTACACCTGGCACAATGCAGTCAGACAAGTAGCGTTCTCCTGGCAACTGCCAAACCCAGACTCATCCACTGATCCACTCATCCACTGACCCCGCTCTGTCATTTTGCGTGGCCTACCACTTCGTGGCTGAGTCGCTGTCATTCCTAATCGCTTCCACTTTGTTGTAATACCACTGACAGTTAACTGTGGAATATTTAGTAGTGAGGAAATTTCATGACTGGACTTTGGACGTTGCACAGGTGGCATTCTATCAAGGTACCATGCTGGAATTCACTGAGCTCCTGAGAGCGACCCATTCTTTCACAACTGTTTGTAGAAGCAGTCTGCATGCCTAGGTGCTTGGTTTTATACACCTGTGGCCATGGAAGTGATTGGAACACCTGAATTCAATGTTTTGGATGAGTGAGTGAATACTTTTGGCAATATAGTGTATATAGGCCATGTATAATATATCTGGGGTTCAAGCCACATTTTCTTTGCTGTCACTTCTTTAAAATTGCTTCAGTTAAAGTTCAAAATGATGTCTGGTTACTTTTCCTTTTACTTTTGTCTAAAACTAAAGTCGTCTATGAGGCCAAAGAGTAAAGCATGAGTGAAATTTTACTTCAGCCCAGTACATCTCGGTCCCCCAGCCCACCAGAGTAAGATTTTTGTACAGATTTTTCAAATTCTCAATTTTGACCATTACAACATAAAACACCACTGTTTTTCCTTCTTAAAATGTTTTATAGATAACAATAACAATAACAATAACAATAGACTTGGAGCACCTTGGTACAGAAGTTGTGTCAATCAACTGTTCAGAACTTTGACATTGATTGACAGCTCTCGTCTGGCACAGCTTTGACACATGACCAGCCTCCAGAGATTTAAGCCTCTGGGTGAAGTCTGAAAAGAGTATCAGCTTTGGAAACATATCCAATTTGGATTTAATATGGAGCTGTAGCCAAGCAAAGTAATCAGCAGAGCAAAGTGGAACATGGAGCCAAGATGTACACTATTTAAACAAATACGTCAAGACAGTCATGACTTGATGCTGTACCACTTTAATCATGGCAGGAATGTATTGACTGGTTGGAGTTAGATTAAAAAGATAGATCAGCAACGAATACTAATGTGTTTGGAGCTCTAATGCCAATGAAAGACTGATTCTGTACAAATGCACAACATGTGCTAAGCCAGTAAATAGAGAGGAGTAAGTATATATTTACAGGTAAAGTGGCAGAGACCACAGCTATGAGATTTAAAGGTATGATATGACAAAAACACTTGAAGAGATTTTTATGCTATGCAATATGCATAAAAATATTCTGTTTTTCTGAGGTTTGCAAACAAGTGGCATATACCAAATGGCATAATGGTGTGACATCCAATCAGCTACTTGTTACTAAGCAGCAACTACAGACTGATTGTTGCTGTTTGCAGCTTGCAGTTGTTCAGTGTTCTAGAAGTACTGACAATACCCACAATATATGATATAGAAAAGCACATCATGATTTAATACCACAGCAATAACAGCATATCGTCGTACTGTCTACTGTTGTGCAATTTTCTTTTAAAAAGGGGCTAAAAACTTATTTTCATTAATAAGTTTTGTCTTGAGGCACTGAGTCCAGTATGAATTTACTATTAACTCAAATAGTATCAAACAGTGTTGTACAGGGAGTAAAAAATAATGCTGGGATTTTTATACTTTTTTGTTTCTTCAGTTGGATTTGGGTTTAGCAAGACTGTTGGAAAAAGCTGATATGTTTTTCTTTGTACAGGTCAGAACTAGGCCTCTTCAATTGTGCTTGGCTGACTACCAGTGAGCTTCAAGTCTAAAAACAGCAGGCAATCTTGGTAAAGATTAAGACACATGGGAAGACTAGCATTGAGACTGTTCTCTGTCCTATTTTGGAACAAACTTCCACTGGCTGTCCGAGCACTGTCTGAGCAGACTCCCTCACAGTTTTCAAAGACTCATCTCTTTGTGAAGCACCCAAGTGAGCACTAATCTAACATTTAATGAAATGAACTTACGCTGTGTCTTAATTCAATATCTTTCTTCCTAGGTGTCAGCACTGGCTTTTGGCCCTTAGCTCAAGTGTTTGGACTATAACCTATTTGTACCAGCTAGGATGCATTCTGAGTGGACAACGAAGCACTTTTTGTTAGTCACTCTGTATAGGAGAGTTTGCAAAATGCCATAAATGTAAAGATCAGCCTCTCACGGCTTACAGCTTTGATAAGAAACCCATGCCTGCACACTTGCACACTTTATGAAAGATCAGTTCCACAAATAAACACAAGTGAAACTAGGCTTTAGAAAGAAGAATCGCTCCTTCTCTCCCTCTTTCTCTGTACTATCACGTCTGAGCTGCAGAGCTACAAGTTATTTCGACATAGTTTAATTAACCAACAAATGCGAGCATTACTTGGTTTGTTGCATGCCCTAGCTAGCTCACCGCAGTACAAACGCTAATGATGTTTTCATGACTGCACAAAATTTTACTTGCAGATTTTGTCCTTAACTATAATTCTCTAACTCTAAGGATACCATAATCACTCCCGGTTCCACAAAACTTCATACCTGTAATCTGACTCACACAGATTTGTAGTCCAACATCTGCCAGAAAACAAAAGCTTCAAAAAGAAAAAAAAAAGCTGTTTCTGTGGCTACAGTGCTACCACTCTGCCATATGAAAAGCCCACACATTCAAATGGAGTTTTTCTAACTCCATGTGAATTACAGTGTAGGATTCATGTCTGCAGAATCATTGAGAGTTTCAATATTATATTTGTATTTGCAATTGGGTTGACAGTCTCGTTAAATGCACTGGACTTGTGTACAGAATACAGCGATTTTCCCTTCATCTTACCTCACATTTGTCCACAACAGGCTGTTGGACACAGCTGGAGCTGTTGCCTGTGGAGAACACTTTCTGTGCTTCGCTATCGCCAGTACCTTCCTCCGTGGAGTGTGGATGTGATTGATTGCCATTGCCATGGTGGTTAGTGCGGGTAGGGTTTCTGGGCGGCTGGCTCAGCTCTCTTCTCAGTGCACGGTTCTCTTCCTCCACCTCTCGAACCCGCAGCTCCAGAGCCTGCCGTTCACCAGGTCCACCTACCAGAGTAGAGGACTGAGGATCTAGCGGAGAGAGAGGCAGCGGCTTCACTGAGGAGAGGAAACAGAGACAGTCTTTACTCGTAACTGGAGTTTACAGCTTACTTTAGAGTAATACAACCATGACCTTTGCAGGAGCATTATTTACACTGAAGAAAAAGCACAACACATTCAACAGAAAGATGACATCGTTTTGTAGAACAGAGCCTTCATAAGGCCAAGTAGTGATGTTACGTTCATGAATGATCCAGTTCTTTTGAACAGATCTTTGGTAAGAACAAAGGGAGCAGAGTCGTACTTGAGAGCTGTTGTGTTTATCGTTGTGCCCAAATTTCTCTGCCTGCCCTAAATCCACTCCACTCCTCATGTGATCAGTGAGAACCAGCTAGTCACATGGTTTCACGTGGAGAGTGATTCCTATCACTAAGGCCAAGACAGTTTCAACCACAAATGAGTATTCGAATATTATAAAGTTAGTAAAATATGAACTTTTATAACGTTACAAAAAGATATGGCATCGATTTAGTACCAGGCATCAGCATCAAGCGGACATCAGCAGGAAATGCTAAATCAAATGTTGGTGGTAAGAAATGAACAAATCCGATCCAATCCTGCAACAAATCTAGCCTGAAATATCTCACACTGTGTGTGGCAATCATGATGTTAGCTGTTTATCTACTCCTGTGGGGTAATAGAATGTTGCAGAAGCTTGCAGACGATAGTACGACAGTATAAGCAATCTGTCAAAGAATATAATCCTGCTAATATGAAAATTATGAATAAATATCCCTGTGCCAAGGAAGTGTGTGTGCAACATCACCTGAACAGGTCTGACTAGCTTTTCATTCAGGAACAGCCCTGTAAGCCTTTTATTTTGAGGTAGTAATTTTTTAACTGTTTCTACAGACTAGCTCGTAGATTTTCAAAGAGTATTAGCCAAATTATTAATTTTAATCAAGCATATCTGGCTGTTTTGTTGGGAGCAAAGGCAGGGATAATGACATTCCTTTTAAATGATGTTTACTGTGATTGGTAATCCTTTCCAAAGTACTGAAAGGACTACTGGGTTTTCTCTTGTACTTTCCAGTTGGTACACCTGAAGAGGGCAGCAGTTCACTAGTGTCATACCTATAAGAGCAGAGAACAAAGCAAAAGAACAAAGTCTGGGAGCATTGTCTTAAAATGAAGGTGAAAGCCGTCACATCCAACATATGTACGTCTGACTTAGCTTTTCAAGGTGAGTAAATGGACAAAACTGAAGTTAGCTTCTTGCAAACGCCATGATGTAACTGCTGCACCACTTAAAGTAACAGGAAATTTGAATAAGAAGCTGGTGACAAACCAAACAATGGCCTGAGGACACACACGGTTGTCAGAATGAGTTAACCTTACCCTTACAAAAATCACTAAAGCTCATCATGTTACACTGGTAACATTAGTCAGTGGAATATTTTACATCATATCAGTTTCTGTTAATTAGAAGTATTTATCAGCTACTTCAAAAAAAACTACTGAACATTCGTCCTGCTCGTCCCGTCACAGCATGACATATATTAGCTGGCTAACTATGTACAACTGGGTAATTAACTCAAAATACAACTCATTTTGAAAACAAAGTTGTCATGTGAAAAAAGGGTATCTGCTCGTCCTGGAAACTTCTTTCACAAGAGCTTGTCTAGTAAACTAGCTCATTAAAATGTTAAACTGGTTAAATGATGCTGCAGCCTGAAGTGCTATAATGTTTATCTACATATTTATTACATCACTTATTTTTCCATGGTGGTCAATTAGCACTTGGTGAACAGTACCTCAGTGCAAAATAGTAATAATAAAAATCCTGTGCATCAGTAACGCTTTACCACAAACAGCAAGGCAAGCTGCTCGGAGCAGGGGGACAAAAGATTTTCACACATAAGCACAGCTCATGGAATAACATTGTTTATAAGGTTGGTCATAAAAGAGGTTCTTCAATATTTTCTATAGTGGAATGTTAAGTTAGCAAAGCCCAGTGTGGCTAGCCAGTGATTTCCTATTAGTAGTCAGGACAGAGCGGTAATGCGCTGCATGCTTTGAGGAACATGAAATTTTATTCAGTCATTTCCGTGGCTTCTGAAAAGACACAGTTACCGACGTGAAAGTCCTGAACAGAGAGAGACGCCGTTTCCCCTCAGCAGTTGTGTGTACATGTATACAAGCGCATGAGTGAGAGGGGTGGAAGCCCACAAGCTCCTGCAGCTCTCAGGGAAATAGTGATGAACTCTGCGTGAGGGTAATTTTGAACACTAGAACTGTGTAATTAGAAACAGGTCTGTCATACAGGCTAAGCAGCACGTTTTTTTCCTGTCTGAAATGGGATCAGGGAACAGTGACAATGGTAACGAAATGACCATGTTCATGCCAACATGGCTTCACCAAACAAAATATACACAGCCTCAAGCAGCAATCCTCAAGACAAAACACAGTTTTGCAAGCAAACCTTACTTGCGCAACTGATGTTTCAGTTAGCACTCCCACAGGATTTGTATCAGTGTTTCAGTGAGTTTGGTGACAGGACAATGCATTTTTTTCACTGTACTGCTGAGGTGAAAGTAGCTATATATTAAAACATACAATCAAAAAACCCCACTGAAGCCAACTGTGCTGATTTCACTTGTCTGGATAAAACAGAATAAAACAGAATAAACAGATGAGCTTCCATTTTAATCAGTGTTTCATTCCACACTGGCTGTGCTAGACATGCACCTTGCGTCCACCAAAGTGCCATCACACAATCGCACATTCCCACTTTCAACAGTGTTCCTAAGTATATTTTAAAAAATAATTTGGTAAAATGTGATCTTGTTGGTGTGGTAGTTGTGCGACAGTTTAGCGGAGTGTGAAGGAGACTCTTCTCAGACACAATGGTAAAAACTTGTGATTGTGATTTTGGTGCAATAAACAGATCTTTTGTTCATACTGTCCAAGTTTTAAACCTGCTGTAAAACAGGAAAATAACAGCTAATACTCCCACCTCAAGTAGATATGCAATGGAGCAGAGTCGTAAGCTGGGTGGACTTTGCACTGAGCTTTTTTTCATGCTGTGCTTTCTTTGGAATCATTGCTCTTTAGACATCAAAAGCAACATGGAAAGCTGTACAGTCTGTTGTGCCCTGAGATGAGGTGATGTGGAATTATCGAGTGGAATGCTTGGGCTACAATTTTTGTGGATTAAAAAAGACTAAGCTTTAGTGGAGAATCTATATGCCTGGACCCTAAAATAATTCTAATTATGCCCAGGCAACAAAACTTGCATATTAAATAATACAACAGTAAGAAACAACGGTTTTTATAGTTTTGAAAGTTGTGCATTTGTGAGTTCCTGAGTCTTCTCTTCAAATGATACAGACAAAAACATCTTGGATGTTTGAGAAACTTAAGATGCTCATGTAGATAAGAGAGTTCCAAAACCACATCTTGCTTTACGCATTTTTGTTTTCATGTTTATAGAGGAGGCACTCTGTAACTCAGCTACAGATGTCTGTGGGAAAGCAAGAAGTAAGCTGTACAGAAAAAGCTGAGACAATAAAGAATGTTCCCTACTGTAGCCATTACACAGTTAAAGTGAAAGAAACACTACATGTGAATTTTTGTTTTTATTATTTAGTTTGTTGTTTAAAAAGGACATAACCTCTCTAGTTCTTTGAAGCATTGTCATCAGCTCTTGTCAATCATCTTCGATATGAGATTGCATCGCCCTATTGTCCGGCTCTAGTCAGAATATGACCAGAAGTAACCATGAGTAAGAGAACAAACTAAAGTGCTTAATGATAATCCAAAACGGAAAGCTCACATTCCTGGTTTGGCTAAAAATGTCACTTTGAAATATACTACCATCTTTCTAATATGATAAAAATAAATGAGTCTAACTGGATAAGTAGAATAAAGCTGTTGCTTAGAGAACAAGAAATGTGGATATGCCAAAGCACCTCTGCTTCCTTTCCAGGCTGAGCTTTATTTGCTGAGTGGATTCTGGGCTTAGTCTCACTGAACTGGCGGGAGCCGTGTTTGGTAGAAGCATTTTGTCCATGCTTTGGCAGCTGCTGTACAATATGTGCACCTGGGCCTCTTTCGAAGGCCAAAGTCATTGTTGTCCCAATAAAAATTAAAATTTACTGTGGACAAGGTATCAGGAGATTGAATATTACTGCCAGAGATTTCATTTAAGGAGCAACTTAGCCTCTGTTGAATAGAGTCAGACATGGACAAGATATGGTACACTTTTAAAATACAATTTTTATAGCAAAACATTTTACATTTGAAGAAATCAAATGAGTTTTTTTAAAGTAATAGCACCTAGCCTAAACAGAAACAAGATCATCATGTCGCTCTTTCTAGGCTAGAACATGGTTTTTCCAAATGTACACAAGACGACAGCTCTAACTCAGACAGAATACCGTTCCCCAGTAATCAATGGTGTATGAAGAAAACATTTATTTTAAGGCTGTAAGCAGGCCCTGTGTGAAAATCCCCTCATCGTGTTTGCTAAGCCACTGCTCAACCCATGAAGCCGAGATGAGGCGGCGAAGCATTTGACTTGCGACTCATTGGCTGCTGTAATGTTCCCGCTCATAGAGCACTCATGTGTACTGCACTTTATTTGCCTGAGCTCAGCGCCCTGCTGCTGCGACAGACTTGCGCCCACGACAAGACCGCTTACGATCGCATCTTCTGCGTAACGCACTCAAACTAACCCCAAAAAACCCGCTCCCTCCCATGTGGAACTTGGACAATTCCATTACCTCCATCATCCACCCGAAACAAAGCTCTCCAGATTATCTCAAAGTAAGATAAAGGCTGCCTCTTGTACCGACAGCTCTACTGCTCTGTCAGTCAAATGAAGTGGTTGGATGGTAGAAGATAGCGAGGAAAGGATCCTTATTTGCATCTTCATCAGCTTGGAGGAAGTGTTCTATGAAGAGTTTCTAAGTAGTACAGGGTGGTGTGGATGTTTAATATGGTGTTTTTTTTTCCAAATGTTACGGCATCAAATGATACATATATTTGCATTAATA